GAAGGGACCCATGTTCTTACATACCACACATTATACCCCAACATGTGTACCGTTCTTCTTCACTAGTGCACAATCTTCCCATTACATCTTTCACATATAACTTGAGGAGGGAGGAGGATGGGTGAGACATTGTATCCATATTCTAGAGCAACAATATAAAGTATAGCAAAGAAATAACAGACTTATACATATTAGTGTCAGAGTATATAAAGATGATCACCAGACCCAAGACAACTATCCAAACCATATTGAGATATGGCCATTCTGTTATGTTGACTGGATTTGTGTTGCTAGGCCACCCAGGAGTAGGAGGAGGGGCATCTTTGAACACATTCAACAGTCTGAATCATTGGACCATAGAGCCATGTCTTCAGTTCATCTTGCAAAGTTGTTGGCCTGCACTGGACTAAGGAAAATTAATAGAGTCAAAACAGCACTGGTGGGTATACACAGGCCACTGCTCTATCCTGTGTAATAATAGTGTTTTAGGTGGTCTCCCTGGCCTTCTAAACCATACCCTTTGACCAGTGATTACCCCCAGCCTAGAATATTAGTGATGAGAGGAGTACAAATCTGCTATATAGAAATAATTAAGATACCTACTCTGATAAGTCCCCCAGGGTTATTTGCTTTAATACTAGCTGGCAACTTACCAACTATGGTAGGTTGTATAAGCAAATCCTGGTCAAGATCTTACCCTCATGGAGTAAGAAAGCACATCAGCAGGTACCAGTTTGAGTTTCCCAAGGCCCAGTTAATACATTAGCTCCAGAGTATATGCCCATGTGTGCTGCCCCAAACAGGTTATTGTCTGTTCTGCAAGAAGTTTTTATCTTGGTATTTGTTGTTCGAACTTGCACTGTCAGGGGAAAGCCCATATCAGCTGCAGAATCTGGAATGTTGTAGGTCAATCTAGGAAGGGCTTTTTATTCATGGTTAATAGTACATCAGAGAGTCTTGTGGTCCATCCTTGTAATGACTCTTCCTCAGTTTTCAGGGTGTTTTTCAACAGTCCATTATAACGTTCAATAAGTCCACCTATTGCTGGATTATAAGGGAGGTGCAGTCACTATTCAATGTTGTGCCTCTTGGCCCAGTGTTGCACATAGTGTCCTGTAAAATGGGTCTCTTGGTCACTTTCAATAGCATTTGGACTGTCAAACATAGCCAGTAAACTCTATAAGCCCTGTATCTTACCTTGTTGATCCACTCTTTTACTGGGAAATGTTTGCATCAAGCCTGTTGTGATATCTATGCATGCTAGCTCATACCAAGCTCCCTCTGACAGTTAAAAAGAAAAAAACTTTTTCCTTTCTCTTTCCTAAGAAAGAAAAAAAAGTCAATCAAGAGAGTTTCATCTGGGCATCTTATGTTGTCTACTGCTCACTGATTTGTATACTGATTTCAGCTCTCCTGGGAGGTACTTGTGCATCAGCCAATGTCAGGAGCTACCTAGGTTTGGCTCTGGTGTCCTTAGGTAGTTGGTTGATCTGAGGCTCTCTGTGGACCACCTCCTCTTGTCAGCTATTTTGCAACCTTGTGGTTGCCTGGTTTTACTCCAGAGCCTTCTGTAGATTCTTTAGGGTGCAGGATGGCTACTGTAGCTTGGGATATCGCTCCCCTTACTTAGAGGTTTTGCTCTCAGGCACTCACTGTGAGGGAGTTACTCTCTGCTTCAAAGTAAACTCCTCAGTCTCTACAGCATCCTCCAATTCTAGTTCCCCCCACAATGGCCTGCTTCTGGTTCAGACTGACTTCATTCTGTTGCCTTTGTTTCAGTGGCCTGGGCTCAGTGGTTTTGATTAAAAAGCACTCCAGAGAGCACTTTGCCTGCCCAGCCCTCAGCAGGGGTTTTAAGGTTTTTTTCCAGTTCCCAAAGAATATTCCCTGAGAGTCTTATTTTTGAAATGCCCTCCTATGTGCTCATCACCTTTCCCCCTCAGGATTGTGCCCTGTGGGGAATATCTGGGGCCTCAGTGAACTGAACCAGCCTCTTTCCTGTTGGGGGTGGTGCTCCTAGCCTGCTGAAGTGGTAGGAGTGTTCTGCACCTCCTTTCCCAGATCTGGTTGGCTGGTTGAGGGAGTGTTTGTTTCAAACACTACTATGCAGACACAAATCCCAGCTTCCTCTGGTATGTCCAACCAATGCGAGCCAGGAAGGTGGACACCTGTTCATCGATCAAAAACTCAAAAATGCACAAAACAACACAAATGCAGAGAATCCGCCCTGCAAGGTCCCACTGCCCTGTATCAAGGCACCCAGTAGGAGGGGACACAAAGTCAGCTCCAAGCAGCTCCCTGCACTGCTGATCTCAGTAAAGCTGGGGCAGCTCCATGTGCACCACCACGGCACCCCTCAGGGCCGGTCAAAAACCCCAAAATCGCCCCACCAGGAGCTCACGGCGGGAGGGCTCTCTTCCTCTTCCCCACACCACACAGATTAAATGCTTTCTGGGATTCAACACAATGCCTTCAGGAAGGCAGAGGGTCCCTGTATGTGGCTGATCAGTGCAGACCTCTGGTCCCTCTCTACTTGGGTGCCACACACTCTGGGCTTGCTTTCCCTATGGTCAGTACCCTGTGCATAAGAGGCCTATCTCAGCTGCCACTACAAGCTTTGTTTCACTAGGAAGGCGCCATCCTCTCCTCTTAGGCACACTGCTCCCCTGGGTCCCTCTGCTCTCCATGCAGTGCACTCCTTCCCTTCTTCTCGGTTCCGGGTTTGAGAGTCCAGCTTTGGATGCCAATCCACACACCCAGGGGAGGGAGCTTTAAAGTCTCTAATCCTTGGGGCTCAGAGGGGGGAATCCCCCTTTCTATGACCCCCCTCTCTTATCAGACTCTATGATGTTTCTTTAGTGCTCCCTACTCAAACTATGCTCACTCAGGTATATTTCTCTGATTTTCCCAAGCTGGCTATGCAATATTTTAGGAGTAAATCAAGTCTGTGGCTGGGAGCAGGGGTGCTATACTCCTTCTCACAGCGCTGCCATCTTCCAGCCTTCATCATCTCTTCTTTACCCCTCTGCAGTTATTTAAAATGAGTAAGATTAATGGATGTTTTTATTTTGTATCTCTTTACCAAACACAAAATAAGTTTGAGATTAGTAATTACCAATATCAATTAGTAATCTCATAGTCCATGACCAAAAAATCTCTCCTTAACCAAACTTTAGTCAGCCTTTTCTAAATATTCTTCTCAATTAGGCCTTGACTTGGAACTTCCATGTGTCTTTGCATCACCCAATTTTAGCCAAAATCATACTAAATCAGTTTAGTAAAAATCCCCACCCTCAATATATAACCAAATTATTCATCTCCTTTTGGTATCTGATCAGGTTGACATGCCTTCTGTAAGAATCTTGTCAAGATAGTTTTGTCTGAACTCCCTGTTGCCCCTGATGTTTCCTCTTAGTAATTTTACATCTGCTTACCCCTGCCCTGCTCCTTGGGTATAAATCCCCACTTTTTTATGCTGTATTTGGAATTGAGTCCAGTTATATACTGAAGTCTCTTTCCCTATTGCAATAGTCCCAAATAAAATCTGTTTGTACAACTTTACTGTCCAGCTCTGATTTTGAATACCCCATTTCCAATATTAAGTAGGGAGTATAATATTAAAAGAGCAGTTATCAAGCCCATGTGGGAGAAGCTACTGCACTACATTTTAATCATAAAATATTTAATTTACCTAATACTAAATGCTGCACAGTGTACAAAAATAGATACAATACAATATGCCCTGACCGTAAGGGTCATTTGATGTAGATAACCAATAAAATAAATTGACTATTATTTGGTACAGATTATTTTATATGGCAAATATAATAACAACTGTAAGGCTTTTAAAAAATATTTAAATTAATGTATTTACCTGCTTTGTTTACCTTGATGTACTATAGTGATGTAATAAGATAAATAGGTAAAAAAAAAAATAGAGTTTGCCTCCATCAATGACCTCATGAATTCTGAAATGGTTAATGGCATGTGAAGGGGAGGCAAAAATCAAGGTGGAGAATTTACAGAAGCAAGAAAGCTAACCCAAGCTTTGAAGAAAATGCAATAGGACCATCGATGAAACAAAAAAGCAAGCTTCCTGGGACTTGGCTCTGCTTCAAGTTCAGCAGAGTCTGACTCAACATCAGGGACAAGTTCATATAGATCAAAGGCTAAAAGCACAAACACATTGATGGCTCTCAACTAGATGCCTCTTTTGTCTCAAGTCTCATCTCCTCCAGGCAGCCTTCTGAGTGCTTCACCTAAAATGGAAACCTGACCATGGTTTCTCCTATTAAATAACAGCTTTCAGTGCCTCTGTACTGTTTAATAAAAACATGCCAGCTCCTTCACCTGGCTTATGGGGTCCCCCATGATAAAATTTGCCTCTCTGGGACTCCCTCCTCCAGTAAGTGTTCCCAGTGCACTCACCATGCTGCTTCTCACTGTATTTCCTTATGTTAGTCTCCTGCCATTAAAGCCATACTCTCACCTTTACACGGTTAACTTATTCATCCTCAAGATCTGGTTTGGCAGTCTTCCCTTAACCCCTTTCCAGATGGTCAGGGCCATATCTTTTTTTTATTAAACCTAGTACATTACAGTAACTGGCTTGTGTAACTGGTTCCTTTATGACACTGTGAGTTATTAAAGGCAGTGGCTATGTCTCATTCATTTTCAGAAACCCCAGTACTTAGCATAGTCGACTAGTGAAAGTTTTTGAGGGAAAATAAAATTCCTTAAAGCAGGGAAGAAGGTTCATGGCACTATTTTGTAGTGGCGGAGTGCCTGAGTGGGGTTGAAAGATTGGTTCTGCTACCTGGGTGATTTCAAACAAGAATTTCCAAACAAGCCTGGTAATACCCTTTTGATAGGGCTGTTAGAAAAAGTAAATGAAATCAGGCATACAAAGCATTTGGATCAGCTTAACCAAACTGAGTGCTTTTCTCATCCCCACTATTTTCAAAAACCACTCCCAATACAACTTGTGACAATAAGCAAAACCTGTTTACCCAAGACATGTTTAATTGCAAGAATAAAGTCAACTCTTGATAACAATCAAGCTATGGTTTCATCTTGGAAGAACCCTGTTGCTTTCTTTTCTTCTTTTAGCAACAGTATTTCTGGATTTCTTCCGCAAGGCGCAAGCAGTGCAGGATGCGTTTCTTTTCAGCAGCCAGTTCCATTTGGGAAAACTGGCCCAAGAGTTTCTGAACGAATATATTTTGATCTTTCAGAAAAATATTCTTATTGACTCCTACATTTGGCATATTCTCCAGGGACCCAGATTTGAAATGGAAGCTTAAATGTCGGTTTCGTTTTAGACCAGGTCCTTTCTCTTCAATCCACGTTAATGGACTGCAAAAACAAAAGAACCATAATGTTAGAGATTACAAAGGAGGGCAAATGAATACTTGCTGGCACTTGAGCACCTGCTAACAGGTCCTCATTTTGTACCCACCTTCCCTGCAGCTGCTGCTCACTGTGGTGGGTATGGTGGCAACCCAACCTTCACCAGCCTCCCAAAGGTCATGGATGGTTATTTTCTACTTTATTGCCAAAGAGACCTTTGTTTAATTTTGCCATCAGCTGAGGAACTCATGCAATGATTTTTGTGTGCACAACAATTTGTTATTCAGGAGTTTTTACTCCGAGTGTTATAGATCCCTCTAGGAAAGCCAGATAAGAACTACAGGCAATCTATAAACCACCGGAGATTTCGTGAAGTTTATTTCCATGTGTATGTGCATTTTTATGGGAAAGTATTCTTTCACTACATTCTCAAAGAAGTCTATGACACCAGCGAATGCCAGAAAACAGCAGATTATCCTTGCTGATTAACAAAGTACCTGTTTCCATTTAAAATATGCCCCCAGACTGTCAGCACTCACAAAAAAATAAGGTCCAAATAGAACAGACCACTTCTACAAAGACTCTTTTCTCTTGGTTTATCTTTTGTCTTTATAGTAGATAAGAACTGTGTTATCTGCTTAATGCAAACAGAGCAACCTCTTAAGTAGACTTTGAATTAAACTAAGAAGGTTTATTGAATAATATGAGAAAAATATATAAAATCTGCTTTCTTTTATAGATTCTAAAAACAATACAGCATTAAGGACTTTTTAAATGAAAAAAACCCACAATTATTCCACCTAAATAAAAGTATCTTTAGTTTGACATAATCCTTTCCTATATTTGTCTATATGTATATGGCATGTAAATTATAAAATATAAACAATTTTGACTATGCTTTACCTATTTTTAAATATTTTTATTTTATCTGCATAGCATGTACAATTGATTATATAATTTATTTAACATTTTATTGTTGCCAAATATTTAAGCTCATTGCAATTTTAAATTAATATGAATATCCTGTATTCAACATGTTAATACATATATAGTGTTTCTTCCTTCCTCTTAGAACAAAGTCCCAGGAATGAGATGATTTCGTGTTGACTGCTAGCTACTTATATTTGCTTCTCCCACCCTTTTCCTACAAGGATGAGTCAGGGTCAAGAACAAGGCAATTTTGTTGACTGCTGTGCTAAGTGATACAGTTCTCAGCGTGAACAGGGAAAATGTTAAATCCTGAGCATTTATCAGGGTCTCTGGCCTTCTCTTGTGTCCTGACACCATTATTGGGATTTCTTCTCTCCTTTCCCACTGAGCTACAATAGATCAGGCCTACAGTAGGCAAGTTAGACAAGCATTGCTAAGGAATGAAGGGAAACTACTGTTTGCTTGCTTGCTTGCTTGTTCTGTCTCTAAAGTGATGCGGCATAATAAGGCTTAAGATTTACGTGTGGGTTGCAGGAAGAGCCTAAACAAGTCACTTAAGATTGTTTTGGGCACAGAAGAAAGCTCAGGGTTGCTTCCAACCTAAAGAAGTCCCCTCTTTGGCTAACCCAGCTTACCAATACTAGAGTGTGGAGTGAATGTGTAAGAGGGCAAAATCTGAAGTATATAAAGCGGAGACATTCTAATACCCATTCCTGCAAGGAGACATCAGGACAAATGTTGACAGAGTAACTTCCTCATTTTGTGGTCCTATATGCTAAAAACTTTAAAAGCCAAACTGTTTCCTAATCCTGTATTTACATGTGACAACATCAGCTGTTTGCATTTTACTGCAAAAAGGATGGAGTAGAGCTGAGGATGGGATCTGGTCTACTTGTGTTCTGGGCTTGGACAGCACTTAACTTCAGATGTCCCAACCAAAAACAGGAGCTTTAATTCACAGACAGCTCTTCTGCTCCTCCTCTCTGTGAAAACATTCACATGCAAATATTTGCATTCATCAACCTGGGCACTATCATAAAAATGCTTCTTACTTCTCAGCTTCTACAGGAAGGTGTTTAACCACATCCACATTCTGAGTATTAGCATATATGTCTTCAAGAACTGTGCAGGTGGTCATTTTCTAACAGTGCTCTTCCGCCAGCCCTGAAGGATAAGCAGGCAGGGACATGCACGGTTTTAGTTTCTACCAACCAGCTTCAACAGGAGTTGAATTTTATACTTCTTGTATATACTGGTTGTCCATATAAGATTTGGGTTGAAAAAGTATTCTACAGAGTTTGAAAATTGCTGGTTAAATGCAAAGAACATGGGCTTGGGCGTAAGTTGTACTAAAATTTCCTGGATAATTCTGGAGTCTGAGGCAAATGACACATACCTCACTGAGAAGTGAGAATTATAAGGTATAGACAAGGCCTGGTGTGTTTTCCATAATATTTCTTTCTCATATCCTTCCTGTGCATTTTGGGGGAGAAGGTGTGACAATTTGGGGACTGGAGACAGGCTGCCTAAGTGTGATTAAATGTGATTTTCACACAATCACTTATTAGCTCTGTGACCTTGGCAAGATTTTCAACCTGAGTCTCAGTTCCCTAGCTGAAAATAACGCCCACTTCAGAGAGTTGGTATAAGGAATACATGACAAAATCCCTATAAAAGAGCTAAGACTATACCTAAAACATAGTAAGCACTCAAAAAACATTAGCTAATTCTACAACAGGGTTTTAAGTAATGATCTCTGTCTTGCTAGTTCTTTTATTGTGACCTTTCAAGATCATGCCTCCCCTCTTCCCCATCTCCTGCTGTGGTTCTGCTCCATTCCACTATTTTGTTTGAAGATAGCTGTAACTTAAAAATTTGTATCTGGAAACAACTGGCAGAAGCTCCTAATATGTAGTAACAAGACCTGGAAAAACATCTACTTATAAAATCTGGCCTGCAGACTAAGAAAAAATTGGGGGGAGATACAGAAAAGAGGCTCACAGATCCCAAAGCTGTCTTCCTAGGCAAAATCAGAAGCCAGAGCTGCATTCATGGGATAAAAAGGCTTTTCTTTGTCACATAGTACACTGTACCACAGGGTATGTAAACTAAGCAGGGATCAATCTGCTTTAAAGAACTGTAGTTCAGCAAGTTTCCTATTTTGGAAGTCATTAAAATGATCCATGTGTGAATCAATACTAACCCATAAATCAAATATTCACATTCAGGTCAGGCAAAGACTCAAGTAAACAGTAATTAAATCAAATTAGTAAACTAGTAAGGTGTTCTATCTATCAACTAAAATTTTTTGGTTATGACTCCATACAAACTCTATCAAAAAGTTGGTCTAAATTATTCTTAAAAATTAATTGCATGACTAGTTTTTTAGGATTTTGTTTTGTATTTGCTTTATCGAGGTAGAGTTGACAAGTAACATTATATTATCTCAGCCTGTGGCTAGTTTTAAAAACATAATACAGCCTTTAGAAACATTCCAGAATGTGATGACAAAGATTAATATCAATGCTCCTTATTAACTGCTTTAACGCCAGATAAAAATAACTTGAGATACTTCAAATAGTCTAATCTACCTAAGAAAATTTCTCATATCCCTCCATATAACATACAGCCTCAGAATCTGAGGGAATACAAAATGTGAGGATGTTTCCTCCATCTCAACTTCCTAACAGTAAAAATAAATAATGAGTATACATCTTTACCTATGTTGTGGTGGTGGCGGTGGAATTAAAAATGCAACTTGTGAGGTGTAAAGTATTATATGAATTTACAAATTATAATATGGTATTTGCCATCTGCCCCAACCTTCATCCAGCTCTTGCTTCCTGTCTGACTCCTACTCAAACTTCAAGACTGAACACAGCACCTCTTCCTCTAAGAAGCATGATCTGACCTCTCCAGGTTCCCCTCCCCTGTATTCCTGTAGCATCTTGAGCTACCTTTAGCTCTGAATACAGTGGACAGGTATGAACATGACTGCAATTCTATATGGCCACATCATAACCTGGGGCCACCGCTGCTATCATTCCACATGCTGTATGTCCAAGGTCTGCATGTTTCACATTCATCTGAAGATAATCCTCAAAATGGACATCAGGCTTCATTCGGGAAATATTTTTCTCTTTTTTTAAATACCCAACAGTCTGTTTGTTTTACTACCAAAAGACCAACCTACCAGGAAATACACATAGAAACTCTAAAACCTTTGCTGTTTTAAATATTTTACAGAGCTGAAATGCTTTTAAAGAAAATTTATAAATGTGCTTTTGTTGAAAAAGACTTGGTATGAGAAATAAAGAATTAGAATATTTGGGGAACAGTATGACAGTGTGATGTGATGATAAAGGTAATAAACAGAACCTTAAATTTTGGTCACACTGAGTGATGAACATTTGGACATGTGATAAGCAAGCAGGGTAAAATGTTAATGGCAGGATCTAGGTGGTACTTGTATGGGTGTTCACTGCAAATTTTTTCAACCTCCCCATATGTCTGGAAATCTTATAATAAAATTTTAGAAAAAATTCAGTCCACAGAAGCTACTAGGTCTGATATAGTACCTGTTCTGTCTGCAAAAGCAGAAAGTCCGCCTGGCCAGGCATAGCTCAGCAGTTGAGTGTCAACCTAGGATCCAGGAGATCGGGGTTCGATTCCCGGTCAGGGCACATGCCCAGTTGCGGGCTTGATCAATGACTCATCATTGATGTTTCTATCTCTCTCTCTCCCCTCCTTTCCTCTCTCTGAAATCAATAAAGATATATTAAAAGAAAAAAAAAAAAAAGCAGAAAGTCCTTCTGGAGTTGGGGCTAAAGGGTGTAGGCCCACTAGATTCCCTCTAGTTTCACCTAGGTAAACACAGGAGGATGTCCTTAAGTTTCCTTCTCTTCATAGTTTCTCACAACCTACCGTTTGTTCTCTGTCTCCAAGCATACAGTCATTTTCATGTACTGATCTTCCTTTCGCTCTTCCAAAGTGGCAGACGCAAGAGAAAGTTCCCCAAAGAGAGAGACCAGCCAGGTCAGGCGAGAGATGCCACTGAAGGCGGGGAAGCCAAACCGCTCTTCTTCCAATGGGCCAGCTGTGGAGAATTACAAACACTGTGGGAACTGGGAAGTAAAGGACTGACAGCTGGAGAACTGGGGTGGGACATACATGGGTATGACAGGGAACAGACAATATGGCTGAGTGATTAAGACAATACTACCTTGCCTTACCACATGGGTGTGCAAGACAACTAATAATACTGATGAAAACTCAGGTGCTTGAATGTAAGCTCTTTCATAAAATTGTTTTAATTTTTTATTGTTTATTAAATTTAGCTTTGTTAGAATAATAAAACATTTTATTAAAAACAGCAGTCCATCTAGTCCACAGGATAATAAAAATGTTTCAGGTTTCTAATATGTATGTGTATATATACTTATACACATATATACACATAGCTACATATCCTCTTCAGTTAGTGATTTGAAAAAGTAAATAAGAAACCAACATATTTAGCGCCTCAAGCCTTATGTCCCAATATATACAATATAACTAACTGTATACATGGCAAGAAGGTAAAAGTTTCATGATAACTGAAGAATACTGTAATACCCATAAACTGTCAATATCAAGACAATTGATACAGTGTTAAGTGTTTTCTTAGTCTTGATACTTTCCTGAACAAAATTATATTCCAAGGATTATCTGTGTGATAAATCTAGTTAAGATATAGCTCCTCTTTTTCCCCAGCCTAAATTTTAAACATAACCTAGATTTAAAAGATTTCATACCCATTACATTGCTCTATAAACCAAGTATTTCTTATAATTATGATACTTAATAAAACCATTCAAAATTATTAGTATGTTTTTTAAAAGATAAGTTAAGACAGTGACCTGAAATGACACATTAAACCAGATAAATTCCATTGATACTTTTAGAGCATTTCACAGCAAAGCAGCAAAATACACATTCTTTTCAAGCACAAATAAAACATTTTTAAGGATAGATCACATATTAGGTCACAGAACAAATCTCAATAAACATAAGAAGACTGAAATCATAACATGCATCTTCTCCCAACAAAATGGTATGAAACTTGAAATCAATTACAAGGAAAAAAACCCTGAAAAACACACAAACAAATAGAGGCTAAATAACATGCTACTAAACAATGAATGAGTTAACAACAAAATCAAGGAAACAATCAAAAGATACCTTGAAACAAATAAAAATAAAAACACTATGACTGAAAATCAATGGGACTGAGCCAAAACAATTCTAAGAAAAAATATATATCAATACAGGGCTACCTCAAGAAATAAGAAGAGCCCTGGCCGGTGTGACTCAGCTGGTCGATCATCGTCCCATGCACGGAACGGTCACCTGGTTCAATTCCTGGTCAGGGCATGAGCCCAGGTTTTGGGTTTGATCCCCAATTGGGGTGTGTGAGGGAGGCAATTGATTAATGCTTCTCTCTCCCTTTCTTCCTCTCCCTTCTTCTCTTTCTAAAATCAATGAAAAACATATTAAAAAAAGAAATAAGAATCTAAAATAAACAATCTAACCTTACACCTAAAGGAACTAAAAACAGAAAAACAAGCAAAAGCCCAAATGAGTAGAAGAAAGAAAATAATAAAGACTACAGCAGAAATAAACAAACAAACAAAAAATAGCCTAAAAAAATACAAAAGATCAATGAAACCAAGAGCTGGTTCTTTGAATAGATTTAGAAAAAAATGGTAACTCTTTAACCAGCTTGTCAGGGAAAAAGAGAAAGGTCCCAAATAAATAAAATCAGAAATGAAAAACGTTAATGACAACTGACACCATAGAACAACAACATATGATTAGAAGATTCTATGAAAAATTCCATGCCAACAAATTGGACATTCTGGCAGAAATGGAAAAATTCATACAAAAAAACAATCATTTAAGAGTGAACAAAGAAGAGACAGAAAATCTGAACAGGCTGATAACTGCTAACAAAATTAATTCAGTATTCAAAACACCCTCAACAAACACAAGTCCTGGACCAGATGACTTCACAGGTGAAGTTTACCAAAGTTCAAAGAATTAACACCTATTCTTCTCAAAATATTAAAAAACTTTAAAAAAAGGAAAAGATCCCAAGCTCATTTTACAAGACCAGCATTATCCCATTTCTAAGATATGGGATATTACAGACAAAGATATTACAAAAAAATTATAGACCAATATCCTTGATGAATATACATTAAAAAATACTCGATAAAATATTAGCAACACAAATTCTGCCATCCATTAGACAGGTCATACACCATGACCAAGTGGGATATATTTCTGGGATGGGATGAAGAATGGTTCAATATCTGCAAATCAATTAACATAATACACCACATAAACTAAACAAAAGATAACAATTGTATGATCATATCAATAGATGCAGAAAAATAATTTGACAAAATCCAGAATCCATTCATTATAAACACTCTCAGCAAAGTGGTGACAGACTGAATATTCCTAATAATAAAGGCCTTATATGGTTAGCTCACAGTTAACATCATACTCAACAGTGAAAGTGTTTTTCTTAAGATATCAAACAAGAAAAGAATGCCCATTTTCACCACTTTTATTCAGCATAGTATTGAAAGTCCAAGCCATAGAAATCAGACATGAAAAATAAAGGCACATAAATTGGAAAGAAAACTCTTATTATTTGAATATGGTATGATACTATATAAAAAGAACATTAAAGAATTCACCAAAAACCAATAAGAACTGATAAATTAATTTAGTAATGTAGCAGGATACAAATTTAATATTCAGAAGTTGATGGCACTTTTATACACTAATAATGAACTGTCAAAACAATCAAACTGATATTCAAATTATAATATTGCATCCAAAATATAACATACCTATGAATAAATTTAACCAAGGAGGTTAAAGACATGTACTTGGAAAACTATAAGACATTGAAGAAAAAAATTGAAGAAGATAGAAATAAATGAAAGCACATACCATGTTTGTGGATAGATAGAATAAACATCATTAAAATGTCCATACTACCCAAAGCAATCCACAAATTCAATACAATCCCTATCAAAATACTAAAGGCATTTTTCACATAACTAAAGGAAATAATCCTAAAACTTATATGAAACAACAAAAGACCCAAAATAGCCGCAGCAATCCTAATTAAAAACAAAAAAGTTTGAGGTATTATGCATTATTTCATGTTAATGCATATCCTTTAATCCTTTAAAGTGGGTATTTATTAACATATGCATTAACATGAAATAATACATACCACATACTTAGCACAGTTCCTTGTACAGGTTAATAGATATTATTATTTATTGCCATTATACTATTTTAAATGAAGAAGAAAAATTTTGAATTGAGGTTCCCCTACATTTTCTGGAATCTCATGAAGAGATGAAAGTTTTTCAATTTAATAATGCCAGGTCATCAATAGACATATGAAAAAATGCTCAACATTACTAATAATCAGAGAGATGTAAATTAAAACCACAATGAGCCTGTCAGAATGGCTATCATCAATAAATCAACAAACAGTAAGTGCTGGTGAGGATGTGGAGAAAAGGGAACCTTTCTGCACTGTTGGTGAGAATGCAGACAAGTGCAGCCATTGTGGAAATCAGTATGGAGTTTCCTAAAAAAACTAAAAATGGAACTGCTTCACAACACAGTGATTCTACTTCTGGAAATATATCCTAAGAAAGCTAAAACACTAATTTGAAAGAATATATGCACCCCTTTGTTCACTGCAGCATTATTTATAATAGCCAAGATCTGGAAACAGCCCAAGTGCACATCAGTAGATGAGTGGATAAAAAAAGCAATGGAATACTACTTGGCCATAAAAAAGGAAATCTTACCCTTTGGGACAGCATGGGTGGACCTGGAGGTTATTATTCCAAGTTAAGTAAGCCAGTCATAGAAAGACAAATACCATATGATCTCACTTATATGTGGTATATAATGAAGAAAATAAACAGGCAAACAAAATAGAAACAGAGGCATAGATACATGGAACAGACTGACGTCTATCAGAGGAAGGGGGTTTGGGGAACTGGATGAAAGAAGGTGAAGGGATTAAAAAACATATATAATATCACAGACAACAGACAACTGTGGTGATAGAGGGAAAGGGGGGTGGAGGTAGGTGGAAGTAGGCAAAGGGGGAGATAAATGCAGATGGAAAGAGACTTTGCCATGGGTGCATGATGCAGTGTGCTGATGATATTTTGTTGAGTTGTACACTTGAAACCTGTATAGTTTTGTGAACAAATGTCACCCAATATATTCAATTAGAAAATATAGACTGATAAGATGGCTGTGGAGCAGGTGGAAGCTACACACAAACCCTCTTGGTCCAAAACCTATTTACAGCTAAAACATGGAGAAAGCAACCTGAATATCCAACTGAAGGACACCTGAACAGGAGTATTATATCCAAGGATTTATAGAAGTTACACAGAGACTGGTAAGGAGGGTGATGATGCGGAGAGGGCTGGTTCCTTCACCCAGGTGTGGCAGCAAAGAAGCCGGAGGGATATCTCAGCTGTTAAAGTACCCTCTAAGGAAAGTGGAGTCTTAACTCCAAGAGAGGACTAGCAAACCAGAGCGCAAGGGCTAGGAAGAGGAGCCTGAATAGTATATGGCAGCCAAAATCATCATCTATCTGCTGGAAAGAGGAGTCTATTAGAATCGTTGCTCTCCTAAAGGGCCAAAACAGAAGCTTGGTGTTGGGCACTCACCCAGTGCTCTGATAGAAGGAAGGAGATTCAGGACATACAAAAGCCAAAAAGAAAAGATGTGAATGACATGGCTCCAGAGAGAGATCTGGAGGGTCAGCTACTGAGGTCCTGGTCCTGAGTAAACATCCCACATCATCCTCAGGAGCCATCTTCCAGGGACAGACAGGCACTCCTATTCTTACAGCACCAGCTAGGGAAAGTGCACTAGCCTGGTCCTCTAAATACTGGCAACACCACCCTGCTAAACTCAAGTCTAGGAGAAATGACTATTGGCTGCACTCAACAGGTACCTAAGGTATGCTCTTTTTCTGGAGAAACTATAGGCAGA